AGATCTGGATTCGATCCCCAACACCACATAAAAATAAATAAAGAAAGATATTGTGTCCAAGTATAACTAAAAAATAAATAATAAAAAAAATTTCCCAAACCATCAAATACTGATTCTGATTCTTCTTCCCCTCATCCTCCTCCTTCTCCTTTTTCTTCTTCTTCTGCTTAATAGATTTTCCTTCAGTTAATCTTTTTTTTTAATCTTGATTTTCACTATAAACAAGAAGAAATGAGGCTGCATCTTCAACATTTCACTTGAAACTCTCCTCAGCCAAAAATCCAAGTTTATCATTTCAAGTTCTGCCTCCCATTCAACTAGAGGACACAATTCAGCTAAGATTTTTGCTTGTATGTAGGTTCCCCTTCTAAGGAATGATTCCCTTTACTCCAGCTTCCAAAAACATGTTCCTCATTTGTTCTGAGCCCTTATATTTTTTGCTTGTTTGTTTTGTTTTTGAAAACAAGGCCAGAGGGCTGGGGTTGTGGCTCAGTGGTAGAGCACTCTCCTAGCATGTGCGAGGCCCTGGGTTCAGTCCTCAGCACCACATAAAAAATAAATAAATTAAATAAAGGTATTGTGTCCAACTAAAATTAAAAAATAAATATTAAAAAAAAAGAAAACAAGGCCAGGGATCCACCCAGGACCTCGTGCATGCTAGGCAAACACTTTTCCTCTGAAATAAACCCCCAGCCCTCAGCTGTGTTTTTAGTGTTCATGTTTCTACCAATAGTCTGCTTATGGTGACTTATTTATGCCCTAGGTAATACAGGCTTTCTCTACTGCTTCTCACTCCTCTGGAACCCTCCCAGGCAGAGTCTGTAACATTCATATTTCTACTAATAGTCTGTACAAGGTAATTTAGGCTTTTTGTATTAAGGGCCTCAAATCTTTTCCAGCCTTTCCCCATCACCCAATTCCATACTTACATACAAGGGTTTGTTGATTTGTTTTCACAGCAGTAGCCCATTTTCTGTTGATAAAATATGTGTTACTTCTCTGTAGCTGGCACGATAGATTACCACACACTTAGTGGCCTAAAATACATAAGTTTATAATCCTAACAATTTTAGGGACCAGAAGTCTAATTTATTTCACTGGTGCCAGCAGGGTCACTTGCTTTCCAGAGGCAATAGGGAAGCATTGGTTTTCTGACTTTTTCCAGTTTTTTGAGTTGCATTCCTTGGTTATAGCACCTTCCTCCATTTTCAAAACCAGCGATGTAGCATCTTCAAAACTCTCTCTGCTTCCATCTTCTCCCGTCTTATGTGTCAAATTTCCCTCTGATTCCTTTTTATAAGGACACTTACAGCCTGGCATGGTGGAGCATACATAATCCCAGTGATTCCAGAGGCTGAGGCAGGAGGATAGCAAGTTTGAGGCCTGCCTCAGCAGCTAAGGAAATTTAATGAGACCCTCAAAATTAAAAATAAATAAATAAATAAGTCTGAGAATGTAGCTCAGTGGTAGAGCACCCCAGGATTCAATCCTCAATACTGGAAAGAAAAAAAAAACACTTGTGATTGAATTTAGGGCTCAATTAGATAATTTAGGATTTCATCTTTATCTCAGTATCCTTAACTAAATCACTTCCATAAAGTCTCTTTAGGTGTAAAGGCAATATTCACAGGTTCCAGAGTGTTATGCTTTGATATGAGGTATCCCCCCAAGCTCCTATGTTAGTGTAGGAATGTTTGGGGATGAAATGATTGGATTGTGAGAACTGCAACCTAATCAGCCTACCTGGATGTGAATGGTCTGAGCAGTAATTGTAGGCAGGTGGGGAGTGACTGGAGAAGGTGGGTCACTGAGCTGAGCAGCTTCTCCCTGTTCACCAGGCCCTTCAGCCATGGTCTGCCTTGCCCCTGGCCTGAAGCAATGGAACTGGCCCAGATGGACTCAACATCTGAAACCAGAAGCCCAAATAATGTTTTCCTCCTCTAAAATTGTTATTGTCAGGTATTTTGATCATATCAACACAAAGCTGACTAACACAGGGTATTAGGATCTGGATATACAGGGAGGAGATGTCCCTCCCTCTGATGTGTTTTGATTTTGTCCCCCACAAAAAATATGTTTAAAAACTTAATCCCTGATGGAAGAACACTGATAGGTTGGGCCTGATGGGAGGTATTTGGGTTATGAAGACACAACCCTTAAGAATAAATTAATACTAATATTAGAAGAACTTGAAGCTATGACTTCAACTTCTTGCGCTTGCACACACTCTCTTGTTCTCTCTCTCTCTCTCTCTCTCTCTCTCTCTCTCTCTCTCTCTCTCTCTCTTTGACCTTCCACTTTTGTCATAGGATGATACAGCAAGAAGGCCCTTGACAGATGCCTATCCCTAGATCTTCTCAGTCACTGAAACTGTGAACCAATAAATTATTATAAGTTAACCATTTGGTAGCATTTTGTTATAGCTGCACAAGACAGACTAAGACATCTTGCTTACATTAGTTGGGTGCTGTGCCAGCTTCTTCTAGAATCCATGTCTTTCCCTGCTTCACTCTTCAACAATTGTTCATAGCAAAGACGTGTAATTGTCACATCACCTTCCCCTGCCACACACCACTGCCTTTGAATTTAAGGTCTAGATTTTAGCATTCCCTCCCCTTCACCCTTCTCTTCTCTTTCCGGCTTAGCCAAGGCTTTTCCTTCTCCCCAGTCTCTCCAGAGGTGAGGGGACAGCCAGCAGTTGGCCACAAGAGACCACCTCAGGCTGCTGGCTTCAGAGATTTCTGGAGTTTGAGGCCTCAGAACCAAGTTTCAGGGGGCAAGGGGCAGGTGAGTGATGCATAGATATTGATAACCTTGCAATGAAGCCATCTGACACCTGATAAACAGGAGAAAAATGTGTATAAGAAGGAAGACAAGGATAAAGCAAGAGGATTTTTAGGTCAAGACTCAAGATTTGTAGTGGGGAAAGAAGGTGAAAGGTTAATAATCTTGAGAACTGTTTGCTAATCTTGTTCCCAGAATGTGCTGTCCCCAACTGCCAAACTGCAGAATGTAACTTCCCTCCCTGCCCTCTCCAAGGAAAGTATATAAGCTCTGCTTAAGCTGTTCTCAGGGCTCTTTGCTCTATTCAAGTGAGCTCTGAGCCCCAGCATGCTGGACCCCCAATAAACCCTTTGCTGTTGCATGAGACAATCTCTTGGTGGTCTCTTCTTCTGATGTTCGCCCGACCTTTACAAAGGCAATAGAGGGGAAGAGGTTGAAGGTAGAGGATTGTTAATGGTTTGAATCTGGAATGTCCCCCAAAGTCTCATTTGTTCAGAATGATTGAGTCATGAGGACTCTAATTTCTTCAGTGGATTAATCAATCCATTGATGGCTAAATGGACTATTGAGAGGTAGGACCTAGTAGAAAGAGCCTATTGGGGGCATGTTCTGGAAGGGTTTCTTTCTGACCCCTACTTCTCTTTCCCTCTTCCTCCTAGGTCTCACAAGCCAAGGAGATTTCCTCCACTACACACTTCCACCATGATGTTCTACTTCACCTCAGGCCCACAACAATGGAATTAACCAACCATGGACTGAAATGTCTGAAACTATGAGCCAACATAAACTTTTCCTCCTCTAAGTTGCTTTTGTTAGGTATTTTGGTCACAGCAACAAAAAGTTGACTAACATAATGTTATAGTTGAAGCTTTGTCCCGGGGTTTCATACTGACTTCCAGGCCACTCATGTATAATCGAATCAAGCCTTTATTGAAGCACACTGGTGCAACTCTCCAGAATATAAAGCTGTTCCCATGATCAGCCTTGAACAATTGCAAGGGCACTCCTTATAAGCCTGAAAACTGCAAAAGGGATGTTCGGGGGGTCTAGCCAATGCAAGCAAGCCAGGTTACAGAAGCAGAAGAGTGCAGTCAAGCAGCAGGAAGCCTAACTAAACACAGTTAGCCCAATCACTCCAGTTACAGAAACAGAGCCCCATGACCCTAGTTACAGAAACAATGCCCATTAGGTAGTTTTGTGTTCTTAAAGGTTTCTGTAGCAAAAGGAAAAGAACATCTTGCCCTAGTCATGACCCTTCTACTTGGCATGGTTGTTTTAGAGAATGGAGTCACAAAACAAAATGGAATCACATTTGTTTTTACTGTTACACTAAGAAGAGACAAGCTAAGTGGCCAAGTGAAGTCCTTGCCAGGGGCAGATGGCCAAGGGTAAAGCATAATTAGGCACCTGAGCCTGAAGGTGGGAGGTCCTATCATTGTGGACACAGGCCAGAGGAATGCAGAGGCCTATCAGCTTATGAGCCAGGTGTGATTATGAGAAGTGACCATCCCAAGGAGAGCCTGCCTATCAGAATCTGATAGTGGACTAATGCAGGAAACTCTCAAAATCTTCTGGGACCAAATCAGGTCCTTTAGTAGATATAAACTTCTATTTGGCACATTTACTCTTCCAACTTCCCTCCACACAAGATGAATCCATAGCCCATTAGAGCTTCTGAAGCTTCACCTGGAAGTTTTTTTTGTGTTTGTCAGAATTATTTTCCGTGGAAATTCAATGCCAACTGGTTTAGACTCAAAAAAGAGCCTCCCCTCCAAAAAAAAAGAAAAAACATTGGATTTCCTGTAAATATTCAATCCTAAGAGAGGAGAGGTATACAGGACACCGGAAGAACTGCGGTCAGAACCTTCTCCTCACTCCCAAGTTTCTTTTTCTGTGTGTTAGCTTCTCCCTCTGGGACCAGCCTGCTCAGTGAATTCTGGAAATGTCATTGGAGGCTACCCCAGCCCACAGTTATCTCTCCAAAGGGACTGCCTTTCTCCTGAGTTCCAATTTCAAAATTCCTGGGTAAATCAGGCAATATAGTGTTCACCTGCAGTCCAAGCTATTTGGAAAGCTGAAACAGAGTCCAGTCTGAGAGCATAGGGAGAACAGGATCTCAAATAGGAAAAAAACAAACAAACAAAAAAAAACAAAAAACTCAACTCCCAGGGAAGTGTTCTGATCCCTGACTTGGGTCACTGACCAGAGGGGAAAAGATACTCAGAAAGAATCAGCTAAAATCAGTGCCCAGCCGGGTACTATCACTGTGTCCCCTGGGAAGATGGGAGGGTGGGTTGAGGAGAGTCAGGAAGGAGAGGTTCCTGTGCAGTCATTCCAGCCTGTCCCCTGCTTCTTGGTCTTCCTGACCCCATCCTGTCCGTGCTCCAGCTTTCTGAGCACAGCTGCTCTGCTGGGGAACCATGGAAAGTAGAAAGTTCTTCCATAAGGCAAGGTTTCCACCAGGCTGGGACACACCTGCACAGGTGACTCCCGACTGAATAAGCTTTAGATCCCTTCCAGCGACACCTGACAGCTGGGAGTGAAAGAACACATTTCCCCGCCCCTTGCCTCCATTCTTCCTTTCGTTGCGGAATCCAGAAACAAAATTCTGAAAGTAACCTCTAAAGTCTGGGCCCTGGAGATTTTCCAGGAGGACAGAGCGCGCCCATTTCCATTTCCAGGGTAGGGTGAGGTTAGCAACTGGGATTGGGTCCCTGGTACTCGGGGTGGCGGGGTGGGGTGAATAAAGCCGCTACTCTCTATCCAAAGCCTTGCTGTCCCCCAGCGCACACCCACCACGTCACTGCACAGCATCCCCAAGGCGAAACTCCCTCCGAAGTGGGCCTTCCCTTCCTCGCCCAGCGCCCGGAATGGATCCTCTTCAGGATTCTGGTGTCGGAGCGAGGTCAAGCGGGCGGGGAAATGAGAGACCTGACACAGAATCGGGGCGGGCGTAGACAACTGCCTGGGTGGAGCGGGATGCGCCTCCACTGACAAAAGGGGCGGGGTCTGGGCCCTTATATGTCGGGGGCCACCCGGAGTCTCCCTGTCCTGCTGCTCCAGAACACTGTCTCCGCTTTCCTTGCTGTCATCGCTGTCCGCGCCAACCCCGCCATGGGCCTGGAGCTCTACCTGGACCTGCTGTCCCAGCCCTGCCGCGCTGTCTTCATCTTCGCAAAGAAGAATGGCATCCCCTTCCAGCTGCGCACGGTGCAGCTTCTCAAAGGTGGCCCAGGAGCGACTGTCAGCTTGTTTGCAGACCGGGTGCATCCTCAGGCCCAATGCCAGGCTCCTCCCTGAGCGCCCCCTACCCTCCCAGTCTGTACAGCAGCCACTTCTCCTTCAGGGCCGCCTTCTACTGAGTGGCCTTGGACAGGTCCCAAGCCTCTCTGAACTTTAGCTTGCCCTGCTGCAAAGGAGGAGGAGGAGGATATTTTCTCCTGTGTGGAGTAGGGAGAAAAATCACAGGAGTTTTCAGATTTCCTATGTTGAAGGCACTCATTTAATCATTGAGGCCTTGGAAGAGCTGAGCCACCCACTGTGCTGCCCCTCCTGTTTACCCATCACCTCCCCATCCCTGCTAAATAACTTTTCTTGACGCACCCACAGCACCTGGCTGTCCCTGGAAGGCAGGGAAGGGAGGCCATCCTCATTCCCAGGGCACCAGGCTCAGCCTAGGAGGCCCAGAAAGGGGGGTGGGACTTATAGGCCCTCTGGCTACAACCCAGCCCCAGTAGGACCTTGGTTGGAGAGAAAGAGGGAGAGTAAGGGGTCCAATTCCTGCCCCAGCCCCAACATGTTTTTTTGTTTTTTTTTTTTTTTAAACTTCTTCCTCAGGGCAGAACTGCAGCAAGGAGTTCTTGCAGATTAACAGCCTGCAGAGGGTGCCTGTGCTCAAAGATGGTGACTTCATCCTGACTGAAAGGTATCCTCCTTCCCTCTCTCCTAATTCCTGAGCCTTCCAGCCTCTCCCACCCCTCCTCTTGTGGGCTCTTGCAGACCCTGTGGGGCAGTGAGGGAAAAGGTTGAGGGAGAGCAGGATCTGTTACTAGGGACTGACCCACCCTGTCCCTGCTTCTGTCTATAGCCTCCTCTGCTGGTCCCTAGTGCTTCTCCACTCCCAGACTGAGGGGTATTGGAGAAGAGGTCAAGGAGACATTTGTCCACTGTTGGACAGAGAGTAGGTTCAACAAATGGAAGCTGGAAAGGATCTCTCCAGACTTTTCAGATATTCCCTGCCCCAGACTGCCCAAGCTGGCTCTGGAGACCAGTGCCAGGGCTTGAAGGCATAGCTCCTGCTGGGTTCTCCCATCATGCAGGCTGAGGACAAGAGGTCAGGGGACTATGAAAATAATGGCTGCTGAGCATGGTGGCACATACCTGTAATCCCAGTGACTTGGGAGGTTGAGATCATGAGTTCAAAGCCAACCTCAGCAACTTAGTGAGGCCCTAAGCAACTCAGTGAGACCCTGTCTCAAAATAAGAAATAAAAAGTGCTGGGGATGTTGTTCAGTGGTTAAACACCCCTGGGTTCAATCCCTAGTACTTCCCTCCCACAGGAAAAAAAAAAAAAGCAATGGCTAAGGAACCTGTCCAAGGAAACCTGAGAATATGCTTTCCCTTCTGATTGCTGACCCATGCATGTGTGGCTATTCAAAAGCCTCCATGGAAGCCCACTGTGTGCCTGCTCCATGCAGGATTCCAGGGGCCAAGAGAGTCAGTTTTCTGAGCTGTGAAGCCTTGGGATAATTTCATTTAACTGTCTGGAGCATTGGTTTCCTCATATACTAAAGGGAGAACAAGAGCCTCTACCTTATAGGGCAGATGCTGAGATAAGCAGGAAGCAGCCCAGACTTGTCCCAGAGAAAAGTCTTTGAAAGGACAAACAAGTCTGGCTGAGAGATGGAGGAAAGCGCTAGGGGTGTAGCTCTGTGGTAAAGCCTTTGCCTAGGCACAAGGCCCTGGGTTCAAGGCCCTGGGTTCAATCCCCAGAACTTAAAAAAAAAAAAAAAAGAGGAAGGAAGGGATTTTGAGGGCAGGGGTCAGGAAGAAAAGGAGAAATCAGAGAGGTGGGAATAGGGAAGAGTGAGGACAGAAGTATCCATCAAATGCAGAGAAGCCCCAAGGACCCACTGGGGGATGGAAGCAGCTGGGAGGTAAAGGTTCAGAGGCAGGGTCCTTACAGCCCCTTTTCCTATCCCTGTTTCCAGCTCGGCCATCCTGATTTACCTGAGCTGTAAGTACCAGGTAGCAGACCACTGGTACCCATCTGACCTGCAGACCCGTTCTCAGATCCAAGAGTACCTGGGCTGGCATGCATACAACATCCGAAGCATCTTTGGGGTGACCCTGTGGGTCCGGGTGAGGAGAGCCATCTGGAGATAGTCTCCTTCAGGGAACTGGGAAGGGGAAAGGTCACGATTGAGCCCAACCTCTTCCACATCAGGTGCTTGCACCACTTATTGGGATCCAGGTGCCTGAGGAGAAGGTGAATCGCAACAGGACCTATATGGACCATGCTCTGCAGCAACTGGAGTCCAAGTTCCTGGGGGACAAGCCCTTCCTTGTGGGACAGCAGGTGTCGCTGGCTGATCTCATGTTGCTGGAGGAGCTGATTCAGGTAGGAGGTAGGCCAGTAGAGCAGTGGCTAAGGGCAGAACTCTTTCTATTGCCACTCCCACAAGTCAGAAATAATATGGACTGGGGAAAGCCAGGATTTGCCCAGAATCACAGAGAAGGTCTCTGGCTATACTGGGACCAGAACTTGACCTTCTGCTTCCTGCTTGGTGGTGTTACTCTGGCTGTTGTCAGGCCCTGGTGTTCACTTCACTGAACTGGGCCTCACGTAGAGGTTGGGGAAGGGATCATGTCCCTTACGTCTGTGCTGTGTTCCCAGCTCTGGGTTCTCAGTATCTTCACAACTTTCCCATCCTTGTCCCTGCAGCCCGTGGCTGTTGGCTATGATGTGTTTGTGGGACGGCCACGACTTGCAGCATGGCGTGGACGTATTGAAGCGTTCCTGGATACTGAGCTGTGGCAGGAGGCCCATGGCCCCATCTTCAACATTCTGGAACAGATGGCCAAAAAAACACTTCCTGTGCCCCCACCAGAGACCCAAAAAAATATGCTCTTTCGTATTTCTAAGATTCCTTGAGTGAATCGTATTTCTAAGATTCCTGCTTTTATGCTCTCCATCACCTGTGTTGTGGCCTTGGTGTTCCCTGTGCTTATTCTATGACAATTTTGTGTCATTCCCAGCCTGGAGTGCTCCAATCTGACTAGAATAAAGACTCATTCTGTTTTTTGCCCCCTTTTATATTTTTCTTTTTGTTCTAGTCCCTTGTCTCTGGCTCCAGGAGGAGCTCTGCACAGACAGAACATCAGGTGTGTTTGACAATAATTCTCAGGTGCAGCATAAATAACCAAATAAGAGACTAAATCCACAATATATAAAGAGCTCCTAAAAATCAATTACATGAAGGAAAACAGACCCAAAAAATTGGCAAACACTATCTGTGTTTTAAAAATAGTAAAGATTCTGGTGGGCATGATTGTGCCTGTAATCTCAGCTATTCTGGAGACTGATATACAACATAGCCATATTCTATCTCAAAATAAATTTTTTTTTTAAAAGGGAGGCTGAGAATATAGCATCCTAGCATGCAGTACTGGGGATTAAACGGAGGCCCTCGGTTTAATCCTCAGTACTAAAAAAAGACTGTGAATAAGAAACAAAGAATAATTGCTTTTATTACATTGTTCTATTATATGTATGGGATAAAGTTTTGTCCCATTGACCCATATGATTAACTAAAGAAATCTCACAAATATCAAACTCCATATAAAACTATTAGCAAGGCAACAAAATATTAAGTAGCCAATTAGAATTGCAGACTATTACAGGATGAAGATGATGTTTCACAGGACATACTAGTTGTTTTTGAAGTCTAGGAAACTTGAAAGATTTCTTTTGACAAGCACTAGTCTTCCAGGACAGTTTCACAGTAACAGCAAACAGTAGGATTTATACATGGTTACACAAACCTCCATGTGTATCACACCAGTTATTTTAACAGAGAGAATTCAATATAAAGAATTAGTATCCAGGGCTGGGACTTTTAGTAGCTCAGTGGTAAAGTACTTGCCTTGCATGTGTGAGGTACTGGATTCGTTCCTCAGCAACACATATAAATAAAGATTCTGTGTTTTCATCTACAACTAAAAAAATTTATTAAAAAGAATTAGTATCCAAATACAGACAAACCAGATTATCACAGAGAGTATCACTGCAAGAAGGCCCGCCCTTGGTCCCCATTCCTAGGACTAGGAACCAAGGAACGACATTGGAATTATGAAAACCTAGGTGCTAGAGGAGGGGCTCCTGAGAACTCAGACTTCCAAGAATGGTAATACTTAGACCCATGGTATCATCTCCTAAGAGTGCTCCAGCTTCTCAAGAGCTCTTCACAGGAAGCCATGAATACATTCTGGTAGGTGATGGTAGAGGTCACTGACAACCTATAATGGACTTCCTAACAACCTGCTATTATGCTCTTCATTACCTGTCTTGTAGCCTTGTTGTTCCCTGTGCTTATTCTATGACAATCTTGTGTCATTCCCAGCCTGGAGTCCTCCAACCAGCAACCAAACTATGGCTGTACTGCCCTGGGGGTGGCTGGTGTGTGGCTGCCTTTTAGATGTAATTCTGGCTGCCTCTTCCTTTCAGAGATTCCTCGTACTTGCTCTTCTAGGCTTTTTCCTGCATCCCCCTGGGGTCGAGGATGAGTGGTGGCAGCCTGAACCTTTTTGATCCACCCTGTGTACTTTTCAGTTGTTTACAATTGGATGATTTTACTTTTAACAGACACTCCAATAAAGAATAAAAAAATAAGCAATAAAGTTAATCAAGACTCCTAATACCACTTCCTTAACAAGACTCCCAAAGCACAAGAAATAAAATCAAGAATTAATAAATGGGATGGACTCAAACCAAAAAGCTTCTTCTCAGCAAAAGAAACAATCAATGAGGTGAACAGAAAGCTTACATTTTGGAAGCAAATTTTTGCCACACACAAAAGTCAGATAGAGCACTAATCTCCAGAATATATAAAGAACTCAAAAAACTTAATGTCCCTAAAACAAACAAACCAATCAATAAATGGGCTAAGGATCTGAACAGACACTTATCAAAAGAAGATATATGTTCAATTAACAAATATATGAAAAAATATTCAGCAATTCAAGAGTAATTAGAGAAATGCAAATCAAAACTACTCTAAGATTTCCTTTCATAGATATTAAGAATACAGACAACAATAAATGTTGGCAAGATGTAGTGGGGGGAAGGCACAACCATACATTGCTGGTGGGACTGCAAATTGGTGTAACCAATCTGGAAACACTATGGAGATTCCTTAGAATCTTGGAAAGGAACCATCATTTGACCTAGCTATCCCACTCCTCAGCCTATACCCAAAGGACTTAAAAGCAGCACACTACAGGGACACAGCCACATCAATGTTCATAGCAGCTCAATTCACAATAGCTAAATTGTGGAATCAACCTAGATGCCCTGCAATAGATGAATGGATAAAGAAACTGTGGTATATATACCCAATGGAATATTACACAGCATTAAAAGAGAATAAAATCGTGGCATTTGCAAGTAAATGGATGGAGTTGGAGAATATCATGCTAAGTGAAGCAAGTCATTTCCAAACAAGCCACAGTTCGAATGTTCTCTCTGATAAGTGGATGCTGATCCATAACGGGGATCGGAGAGGCATGGGAAAAATTGGTGCTGCTGCAGGAATTCTTGGAGTGGCAGCGTAGCGTCCATCCACTCCCCTGCCTGGGTTGCTTTCTGGCCTCCTGCCTGCCTCTGATAGAATCATTCTTTGGCTTTTTTTTCAGATTCTGCAGCTGTCACCCTTCTCAGGTGCAGGTCAGGGTGATGTCCCTGCATCTTGTGCTATTGTCTGAGGAGTCCTTATCACTGGTGCATCCATGTCCATCAGCCTATGACCCTTAGCTGTGATGAGAGGCATGACTGGTAGAATGACATGGGCAAGTGGAGGCTTTTTTAGGTAGAGAACAAACCCAGAAGGCCCATAACCCTATCCTGAGTCTCTGAGGCAGGTAGAGTCTCTGAAAATGTTACATTTGGAGTCCTCTTCAAGGAATAACAGACACAATAAAGACTTCTCTCTTGTCACCTGTCCTTGTCCATCCCCTCCATTGATTATTTTCTGTCCCTGATCTCACTCTCCACTGAATGAATGAATGAACAAAGGAATGGATGTTTCTCTGCTCTCTTCTTATCCCTATTTCCCCTTATTGCTTTCCTTTTTCTCTGGCTATTCTTTTCATCTCCCATTTCAGTGTGTGGCCCCAGATCCCTGATGGCAAATCTGGATGAGGAGCTGCCTGCATAGAGTAGATGCAGAGTCGATATGTTGGGCCCCAGGGTATCAGGCCAAGGGTTTCTGGCACTCCTGGGCATGCCAGAACTGGGACCAGCTTCCCATCACAAGTCTTGCTGGGAAACAGATGATTCTGCTGCACCTATCTATTTTCAGTTCCTGCCTGTCTGGGCTCCACATCAGCTAGTTCATGAAGGATGCTGATTCCTAGGGGGCTGCCTGGCCCTGGGAAAGGGCTCATGTTTATTGTGCTCCCAGTGACTCCTAGAGAGTACTGATGGCCCAGCCAGGGGTCAGACTTGCACGTATGTCTTGGTCTCTCACTCTCAAGAGCACCAACCATGGTCCCAGAATTTCTCACAGTGACTCTACAAACACTTTAAGAATGGCCAAGGATTGCATGGTATCCACCCACCAAGCTAAGCCATGTGCTGTTTCTGAAACCAGACATAGTATCAGCCCCATGCAAGCCACAAAACCTGTGAAAGAGTAGGGAAAGCATTATAGTCCGCGTGTGTGGGCCAGGAAGGTGTGGCCAGAGGGTGGCACCTGTTTCCTCAGGTTCCAGAGTAGGCCCCTGACAACTTCCTGGGAGGCCTTAGCTGGATTCCAGAGGACAACACCCTGTGAAGGAGGATGAGAGGCAAACTGGGAAGACTACCTTTGGAAGAACCAGTGACTGTTAATACCAGATTCGCGGGACCCCAGTAGACCTCCAGGAACCGAATACGATGCAATCACACAAGAGTCTTTATTGCAAGCTCAAGCCTGGACTCACAACCATTCCCAATGCAGGGTCCCAGAGAGTGTGCCCCGGTCCTTTGTTCAGTGAGATTTTATAGGTTTTGGGGAGATACTCTATGGGTCACAACATCACACAACAAATCATTCCATACTGTGGGAAAATCAAACATGTGTGATTAGCACATTCAATGGTGGGAACAAGTTGGGTAGGGGTGATTGGCTAGTACAAGAAGGGGGTTCGTTTGAACTGATTGGTTTAGGCCACGAGCGGTGTACATGCTAAACTACATGGTTTCCCAATATGTTATCAACCACCATAAATTACTTGGGGGTCATCTGGCATTCCAGGTATTTTCTGTCTCATGCTGATTGGAGGTTGCTAGGGGGGTTGCCATGGGTCCTCAGCTAGCCTAACTGAGTCAGGGACACCTGGCACTGCAGACCTTTCCCATTACTTACAGACAAACAACTCAGCAGGTTGGGTATGTACCTAGAGTGCTCTGTGTGTTTTTCCAAGGACAAGGGTCACGCCCCCTTCTTTAGGACAGGCCTTGAGTTAGAAGCTGCTGTTATTTATTTATTTTTTAAAATGGAGTCACATTAGTTTCTCATGACCAATCCTCAAAGGGTGATACCCCTACTTCCATTCCAAAGGACAGGGAGGGGTGTTGGCCCAGTGGGCACTGGGTCACCAGCCCACTGGGTCTGGAGGAAGTAGGTTTTAGGGAGGAGCACAGAATACTGGACCCATTTTGGGAGAAGGGCACTGGTCCAGAAGGGTGAGCAGCCAAGTCATGTACAAACTTCCCCTCCTCTCTGCCCTGGATTCCTAAAGGTGAACCCCATGGGAAAAGTGGCCCCCCCTCAGGGATGGTGACTTCCTGAGGAAGCTAATGGTGAGCTGGTACCCACTGTTGGGTGTGTGGGAGACACCCCACTGAAGTTAAGTTTCTGACTCTCATGGGATCCCTTACCCCTACCCCTCCTCGCTGAAGGGCGCCAAATTCAAAAATTTTCTCCACCAACCCCTTGGGACACAGTGTCCATTCCCCCATTCCTGAGTCACCCTGCCAATCCTCACCTGCCATGTGGCCTATGCAACCCTTCTTAAGTCAAAGCTGCATGCTCTCTGCCTTCTTCCTCTCTGCCCTCTTTCTCTTCTTTCTCTTTCTCTCTGCTCTCTTCCCTCTTCCTCTCTGCTCTCTGCTCTTTTCCCCTCCTTTCTTCCCTTTTGGGCAAACCCCAATAAAATCTCTTGGTTGAATCTCTGTCTCGGGTGAGTCACTTGCCTTTCGCACACCATGAGCCAGCATCAGGCTCTGTCACACTTCTAGGGCTCAGGATGTTGGGAACAAGTAAAGGGGATAGAAGAGAGCTGATCACCCCTGGCCTGCAGATCTTTCCAAATTACTGGCAGCCTGCCCAGCTCAGAGACAAGGGCTAGACCCAAGGGCCACTTAAAGGTAAGAGCCGGGAGCCTGGAGCCTGGCTAGAGCCTGAGATGGCTAGAGCTGCAGGCTGGAGGGGGGCATAGGTCAACTAGCCAGATCTGGATAACTTGGAGCCAGTGGGCAAGTT